CGTAGGCGTCGTGTTCTAAAAGTAAAAATAAGGTTAGGAAAACGGCCTACAGCTCGGCAAGAAGTGCAACACTTTCCTCATTTCTACCCACCCATGCACTCACTATCTTCAAATATGGCGCCGTTCGACAATACCTTGGTTTTTCATGTGTCGTCAAAAAATTATCAAGTAATGAATATCTAAAATAAGTTAATAATTTAATGCTACACCCATGCCTAGACACAAAAGCAGATCAAGTCGGCTACGTTGAACAATGGGCAAATGAATGTCCGTTGGACTAATTGATACCTAAGGCAGGCAGCTTCAAGGTTTTTTCTGCGGCGGTGTGTGTAAGGAAATATAATTCGGGATGCTGTTACAAGTCTCGAACATAGTTTTACACACCAATTGGTAGCAACGCTGATCCAGAAATATGCAACAAAGCAGCCATATGATCAGTTCGCAGCCAGCCACGCGGGAGACAGATGGGCCAGGGCAGTGGCCGCCGCCGACGGACGGGAGCAGGGCCCAGATAAGGAATATACGACAGAAGAGGCTTCATTCTGTGACCTGATTTTTAAAGGAGAATCTCCACTTTTAAAGCTTTTGTCACTCTTTGAGGCAGTTTCGAGCTTCCGAATTTGTTTCCGTTTAAAATTCTGCGACAAGTCTTATCTTTTGAGAAGCAGCCAGCGAAATTAAGGCGCATGGAAATGTCTGTTGTACTGTGAGCCATCGATCCACTCTCAAAATTCTCACCAGCCAATTTCCAGGCCGCATTTTAGTATCGACTCTGTGGACGCAGATGCCCCCTCAATGACCTAGATTGCCTGCCCGCTCGTGGAATTTCGCCTCCCCAGGAAAGACACTGTTGAAATCAACGAATAATTCTGGGAAGCTGGATAGCATTATTTGCCCAATGACATACATGAATCGAGTAGGCAAGATTGCGCACCATTGAAAACCGGTTCTGGATGCATATCTAGCATAACAGCCATGACATTTGACTGAAAAGCGATGACAACCTTCATCTCTACCCCCCCCCCTTGTTAATCAGGCTTGCTTTCCAGGAAAAAGTTCCTGAAGTACGCCCTGGGTTTGGCCGTTCCGCCTGTTTGAAACGTTCCTACGCTTATAAACGTTCCTAATTAGTGCCCATTGTTATGACATTTTTGTACCACTTTTATCAATGGTCTCTCTCTCTCCCCTCTCTCTCTCTCTCTCTCCCTCTCTATTCCTCTCGCCCTCTCTCCCTCTCTGTTCCCTTGCCGATAACGGTGTTAAGGTGCAATGGACATCCATAAAGCAACGGACAATGCCATCTAGTGCATTCAATATCAGCTTTCGTTTATCCTGTCCACGGTAGGTGGTGACGGGGCCGCCAACAGTGACTCATCAATGTGAGCATCACATCGTCGCACGTCTTCAGGGCGTAAGTCCAGTGAGCGTAGGTTTCGTTAGCGTAGATGCAACAAGCGCAGGTCTTTTGAGCGCAGACCCAGCAAGTGTAGCTCTTTTGAGCATAGGTCCAGCAAGTGCAGGTCTTTTGAGCGTAGGTCCGGCGAGCGTCGGTCTTTTGAGCGTAGGTCCAGCGAGGGTAGGCCTCGTAAGCGTAGGTCCAGCGAGTGTAGGTCTCCTGGGGGCAGGTTTTCTGGGTTCTCCCCGTTCCGAATTGAAAGAGTCCAGCCGGAATTAGTCTGTAAGAGGTAGCCGAGCTAAAGTCTGCTGTAATGGTCTCCGAAACGAAAATTTTTACGTAATGTGCTTTGACTGGATCACGTCAAGTTCGCCCTCCACCCCAACTATCTCGCCGTTAGTGTTTCAGGGGCCCCTACTAACTACTTGAGAAATTGGTCGAGCAGCGACTCGTTTACGTTAGGTAATGACGTCACAAAGTCGTACGGGCTTGCGCGGCGGCGTTGCATGACAACATTGACTTCTTCGCTTAGAAAGCAATAGTCACGCAGAAATGCTGCGGTTGGTCTGTCTAGGGGGTGGAAGCGGCAGCACATGCGGACGACATGGAGACCGCCTGCAAATAAGCAGCCACAATGCCTTTAGTGCCCGTCCCGAACGAAGTGGACGAGGACGATGGGTTCAACGAGTCGGGCGAAGACAAGCTCCATGGTGGTGACGGCGAGAGAGCCGAAAATGGCCTCGGCTGCGGCGACGAGATGGACGAGGTCGACATCGAGCACGAGGCGTTGGCCTTCGTTGCCAGCTTCGTGGCGACCAGGTGCAAGCACCTCGATTCAAGCATAGGACTGTCGACCCGAGATGCACCATCCAGCTGTGTCGCAGACAGCTGGATACATACGATTAGTCGGGGTGGTCTGATGGTACCGTCGCCGGCCTGAACGAGCGTTGACAAGGCTTCCGAAGTCGTGTTTCAGCTAGTGATGGGCCGAGGCATGACCGAGACATTGGTGTCATTGACTTCCTCACAAAGGTCCTGCTGAGAGCTGTTTTGCGCCGGGCGAGCGGATCACACGGAAACTGGTGACGACGTGCATCCATGTGCGCCGCAGATGGCTCAATTGGGCTAGGGATGAACGGGCTGCTGCCAGGCGCTCAGCCAAACAGGTGGACAGCGCGAAGTGAACATCGCTGTGCTTATGCGCGCATAAGTTAGTTAGCTTACGTCAGCATCGTTGTGGGTTCTTTTTTTTGTTTTGTTTTGCACGCTTGTATATTTGTTTGAGACATAGCCGGTTTCTTCGCCGATAAACGTTTGAGTTGTTTTAGGCGGGTTGTCGTGTGGCATAACTCTCGATTTAAGGTGGAAATTTGTACCCTCCTCCTTCTCCCTTGTTTACTTTGAGTCCTCGCCGAGTGTGCACGATGAAGTGCATGTTGTTCGCAAGAATCGTTTTTAATAGAGACGGTGAATTATGGGTCAATTACGTGTGTTCGATGAAATGACAGGATGACGTGACGGATCTGATCTTGATTAACGCCACTCGCCACGACCTTCGGAGACTGTGTGGCATAGCTGACGCAATACGCAATGTCGAAGATGTCCTATATTCTACCAGGTAAGAGACAGCACACCTCCTCCGCCTTCTCAAACTATTTCAATCACACAACAGTGCAACCCGGCACGCCGCTATGTATATCGCCGAGGTTCAGCATGACAGCCCAGATGATGATCCTGGTGCAGTTCCTCCTTTGGCAATGGCTGGAGCTTGGGCAGGTTCGCCTGCCTGGATTTTAGCAGCTTCAGGCTCGCCAACTTCAATGCGTCGCCATGACTCAATATAACTCAAATAATCAAATCAAAATAATGAAATAGACTTAATGGTTGGTATTTTCAGAAAGTGGGAGTGCCATAGCACAGGGGCTCCCAGCTCCTAGGTCTATGTTTGCTGTAATACACTCAGCGTGGCAAAACATCCATATTTGCTCATAGTACTTCTTAAAGTGCCCTGTGTGGATCACCAGATGCATTTCTTCGTAGGTATACCAGTGTGGCAGACGCGAAGGTAATGCATACGGTGCGGCGATGCCAGGCTGTGACTTTGTGACGTCATTTTAATTGTAAGGGGAAAGTTCCCCCAAAATTCCCGGTTAATCATACCTTATTACACGGCCTTGTAGTGCTAGCATGTTGTTCAGCTTGGTTTTAGTTTAAAGATTTCCCGTACGGTTGGTCATTGACCCATCCGTGAAAACGATCTCGATTGGATGTAGCTTGACCTGACTGATTGTAGCCAGACATGGTGTCAGATGCGTTTCACTGTCAACGCTAGTGGTCACGTAGTGATAATGATGTAAGGTCACTGGAGGTCAGCGGGCCAGTGAGTCAAAATGACACGAAGTGTGACCAATATATCACGCCAGTATTGATATCTTCGAGAGCATTATGAGCCCCAAAGCGAGTCGTTTTTTGCGCGCGGTTTTTTATTCAGATGTACGCCGCCAAAGCCACAACTACCGACTACAAGCGAGAGCGAGAGCTATAAAATGGAAAGACTGCAGTAAGGACCACCAGTTCCCATGCTGAGGAAGTTCAGTTGTGGCTGAGTCAGATCTCCTCGGAGCTGTGACCACCGCAATCATGTAGTTTGTGCGGAGGTTTGGTCATGCTCACCAGTTAAGTCAATCTTGGCACATGCTTCCAAAGATATTTCGATGCTGACTCTTGAACCAATTTTCTGATCAAGCTCAGACATCTGCTGGCAATTTCGAAACCATTGCCAAACTTACTTGCTGATTTTTGCCAAGAATAACGCATGCGATAGACATGGAAAAGCTTGCAGCTCAATGGCAAATTTACCAGAAACCGTCTGAACATGTCAGTAGAATAGTGATGAGGTAGCGCTTTAATAGAAATCAGACTAAATCCTCATAGTGGTCGTTTTAGAGCAAGGCAGCACAGGATGAATGGTGCACTTTGTGAGATTCGTGGAGTCGCACAAAACTACCGTCCCTTATAAAAATGACAAGAATGGCACGACATTGTTTAGGTTGCCGCGATTAACCAAGACCAGGCGCCCCACGGTCAGGTGTATAACACAGGCATTGTTAACCTGGAGATGTACCAATCCGCCACCAAGCTCCTCACCACGGCGAGTGTTTTGGGAATGCTGAAATACTGGGCGTTTACGCGAAAGATTAAGCCTTCACCATTGCGCGTTTACTCACGATGGGAACTAGAGCATGCTTTTGAGGGAGCATGCAGCATGTGATATTAAGTGCATTCTAAAATCTTATGGTTTCGTCGCAGCGTGCTCTTAGTAATGTCGAACTTGAAGATTGTATCGTGCTGAACGATAAAAGTGTAAGTCAGTTATCATGTTCAAGATGGTTCAGGGCAGCAGGGAAAATCTGCAGCAGTGTCTGGACGACGCTTGTGACGCTTGCGCTAAATGAATACGCAAGTTATCTGCACACTCCTTAACGCCCTTTCCAGGCCAACACAATCGGGAACTCCATAAATGGGAAAGGCACGAGACGACAACTTTGAACAATGTCAATGTACTCTGGTGTCGAAATGACCACATCTTGCTTCAATTCGACTACGGCAGGGTCTACTCATTTGGTTTCCGATTTTTGCACTGTGAATGCCACACGTCTTTGAGCTAATAGAATATTTGAGTGGCACATGCAAAATTAGACGACCCTGCTTTTGCAGTGCTGCTCTCTAAATACCAAATCATCATGAGTGAGCGAGGTAACGGCGGGAGCAGCAAAGCAAAGAAGTCAAAACCAGCCAGCTCCAATGCGGCTAACAGCGGGAAGGTGTCCACTCGGGCACCGGCGAGGGTGACCACAGTCCAGAAGCTGCACCTGCGTCTCTTTCAGGTCGGTATCGGGAACGACCGGAGTGGCAGGGCAGATGCCTCCAAGGATGCGGCGTCTAACCTTCCAAACAAGACTGCTTCTTCGGGGGAGGACAACAGTCGTGACTCGAGCCCAGGGATCGACAGTGTGCCGCCGCCCTCCGAGCCGCCTCTGGAGCCCACACCCCCGCCGCCAGTTAAGAAGCAGGTCAAAAGGACGGCTGCCCAGATCCTGCGCGAGCTGGCCAGATGCAAGGCTGAACAGCAGCAGGAAATCAAAAGGTGATGTTCCGCATATTTTGCTTCCAGGTCCCATACATCTGTTTTGTCCATAAAGTGTGACACACACACGTATTTTGCTACTGAGCTCTCGTTTGTTATGTCGCAAAGCTGTGACTGTTCCGAAGTCGAACGGCTCCCCTGGTATTTATTTGTAGGATATCGGCGCTGGAATTCGTTGCTGTCCCTGAAGAAGTGGTCAACAGAAAGGCTATCGAGTTGGAGGAGCAGGACAGCCTGAGCCGTGCTGAAAGGCGCATGCTCGCGTTGCTAAGTCTGGAAAACTCCATTGCGTCTAAAGACAAGGCATTGGACCAGAAGAAGAAACTTGGACACAAGACTGTAGAAGAGGTACACACATTTTCGCTGCAACCTCATAACGATGAAATGTGACAGTCGATTTCCTAACCAGGACAGACCGCCGCTTTGTGTGACGATTCCAACATGCGTGGAGTGCGGTACGGGGATCGTTGTGCTCATTATCGCTCACGGCCGGACACCAGACGTCGTGCGTAACCTGCCCACGCGCCGTGCGGCGGCATCCCCAGAAGCGGAGCTTGCGCCGGCTGCTGGCCAAGTTGCGCCAGCAGGAGCAGCTGATCGCCACTCAGGTCCGCGATGCCGTCCACAACATGCGACAGCGGGCGCGCCAGGCTGTGGCCGCTGCCGCCGAACGGAAGGCCGCCCAAGGTAACCTCGCGTGAGATCCTTTGAGGTCGGCCAATGTCTGGCCGCGAATGTACCGATGATGCCATCAGCTGATATGAGAGAAAGATTTTGATGTTTGGCTTTGGCTTTCGCTTTGGATTGGTTGTTTTGTTAGGCTTTGATGGTAAAGCTGAGTGGTACATAAGGAGCTCCTGCAAATGGAACAGGAAGATCAGCACGGAACTGCGACTTTTTGGACATGCCAGCTGCCTGATTTGTATGCTGTCCAAACACTAACGAGGTCACTTGTTCTAAATCGGAGGTGCAAAAAGATTTTGAATTAGAAGATAGAAAATACAAAGGAATTGCTTTGTGGATATTTCATAGAACCACTTTGTGCTTGGACCATTTGCTTGTTATGGACAAGAGAAATGACGCTCATGAAAGTGTGACACGAAGTGAAATGTCCCGCAGCCAAACAGTTTGGGGAGGAAACGCTCAGCATGGTACGAGAGGCACAGAAGCAGGTGAGCTGCGAAAACATCGCGCTCACGTGATATCTGTTAGGTGTTTAAGCGATGACCATATTAATGTGAAGGCCACTGGTGGTGAGAATACGTATATTTTGGTGCAACACATGTTGAAGCTCATATTGCAGTATATATAATACTATATAATATATAATAAGAGAGTGGGATACGGCCGCCTTTACATATATATTTGCAAGCTCATTGTTCTGATACCTTTCCGAAATAGTCAACTGCTTGAGCGTGAGGCGTAGTTTGGAGACATACTAGGATATCTGATAACTTGTCGGTACTTCGCAATAAGCCAACATACATTCACTGGATCTTGGGAGAAAATTTAGCAAAGATGTGAGGACACCACCACAAGGCTTGTGTGGACCGAACTGGTATCCTTCTCCCGTGGGCACAATCTCTAATTTAACTCATATTTCCTATCACTGTTTTTCTGCGCTCCCTAAAAATCTTCCATGCGCAACTGAGCCCACATAACTCGGGACCTACATGCCTCCACAGCAGGAAGAGGAGCGGCAGCAAAAGTCTGCCCTAATCCAGGAGATTCGCCAGCTGGAGTCGGTCTCTCAGCCCCACGTGAAACAACTGGATCTGACGGAGACCGCTGGACACGGCCTTCTAGACGAGATGTCCATAGCTGAGGTGAGCGCATAACTTTGATGGCATGCACTGCGGGTAAGACTGTTAGCTGTTACTCACTGGGAACCGCTGGCCGAATTATCCGAATTACCTTCAATATAGCCGAGCAAATAAATAATTCGGGTCAAAGGAATACATAAATATTTTTGAACTCGTAGTGCCGTTAATAGAGAACATCGATGATGTTATCACGCTAATTTGGTTCATATTTACGTTGACGCATTTTCAGCTGCGCGAAAGAATAGACCTGCTGAACATGCAACGGTCAGCTAAACTGAGGGAGAAAAATGAGAGAATACTGAACCAGAGAAGAATTCAGGAGGCGCACATGGAAATGGCGGAGGAGATTCTCACGCGTTTCCACGAAACACAAGCCCGAGAAAGGTGGGTAAGGCAATGAGATAACATCTGCAAAATATGCGCGAGAAGCTGTACCCACAGAGTCACGCAAGAGATAGTTCGCGGTTTATTCCTCCTAGCAGGGGTGCAGTTTTTCAAACACACGACTTCAGCCAGGGGCGTTACTTACCCTACTTTTAGAGGGTCCGGCACACCAGTGATGAGTTGAGCCCGCCAACGCTCCTTTGAGCTCCCCCCCCCCCCCCCCTCCTTCCTTCAATATAGCCGAGCAAATAAATAATTCGGGTCAAAGGAATACATAAATATTTTTGAACTCGTAGTGCCGTTAATTGAGAACATCGATGATGTTATCACGCTAATTTGGTTCCAAATAGGATCATGCAGCTCTTTGTGGTCTAACATTATTAGACAGTTTCGAGGCAAATTACCAAACGGCATCTGGCCCAATACTATGGTTCACCGAATGTGAAAAAATGAAGTGTTTTTTGCCATCATAGTTTTTTGCCCCCATATTCAAAACGCGAACGGCTAAGAGGGAAAAGTGTGCTTACGCCATGGCTTTTTGACGACGTACAGAATGCTGAAATGCAACAAAGTCTAAATATGTTAATTAGCTAGCCATATCTTAATAAGACGAATGCCAGCATGCCGAAACGGGACCTAAACCGATGGCAATTAGGCGAATGCGAAATCACCGAATGGCCACTTCACCAAACCTCTTTTGTCGCAATGTGAATCTGACGTACGATAATTAGACGACCGTAAACTCCCCGGACAGCCGAATTAAATGTTCGAATTCAATAGCCCACTTCATTTGATCGAAATATGAAAAGGTCGATTGAAAATTGCGTGGAGTCATAATACCTGCACCCAGTGAAGGGCGGTCCGTGAATAGCATTGTTGGTGGGGCGCAGCCAAATCACTGCCACACTAATGCGGTGAGGTTTGGCTTGGTTAATTATTGATGTAGCTAGACGGACCGTTGGAGCAATTGCCTTCACCCCTTTGACCTGACTTGACACATTACATGTGACATCTCTCGATATCGATTAGGGCTCATCCGGTAGAGGATTCTTAGAGACACTCAAAACCAATTTTCGTATTTTCATAGAATGCTTAATTTTGGTGGTGGCAGGAGGTTGGACACGATTTACCCTGTCAAAAGTTCCAGTCATCATGGTTTTGTCACACCTTCCTTATGCAGTTTAACGATGGCTTTCAAATACCGTCCTTCCCGTGGCTCCAGCTTGCTTGGTTCGAGATCTTAAGGGTGCCGCTGAGACTTCCTCTCGAAGGGTGACAGTGAAAAGCAAGCCCACAGGGCATGAGGTAAGGGACCTTTATCGACAATTTATTAACAGCATTTAGAGGCATAAACATTCAACTGAAGAGCATTGATATGATTAACAAAGGCAAAACAAAAAGCATTTCGACGAATTGGCATTTCACTAAAAAACATTCCGACAGGTTTGCATTTAGTGGTCACGGATTTGGGTACGCTGTCAATTTCACACGTCTGCAAAAAGGCTGTTGGCAAATTAATTTCTATTTGTAGCATTGCGCTTTATTGACACGGTGGCAAAAAAGACACGTCGACAAAAAAAAAACATTCGGTTAATTGATTTCTTTAAAAATCAGCAAGAGGCCACCGACAAAAACATCCTGGCTACTTGGCCTGGTGCCTTATAACGCACGGGTCCAATTTGTTACCAAATTTGAAGTGCGCGGTAATTGAAAAAAACAGAAGCGATACACATCGTTTTTCGTCAGTTTAAAAAATTGACATTGAATTTCTCGACGGAAACATTCCTGGCTCATGACCACGTGCCTGTTCGCCATTTTACGCTAACGAATTCGGTCCCATGGAAAAAAACATAAGCGCTGACAACGTGAAATGGCGAATAGGAGCACCAGACTAAACCAAAACGTCTCAAGGGTAAAAGTTACTAGCTTATTTGAAAGACATAATAATATTCAATTGGTTTTACCCCGCTGTATACTGACATTTTGTGTTTCTCAGCATTGCCCAATATTGCTAGGTTCAAAAGGCAGCCATGAATCCAAACGCTGGAATCAGGCAGGTTCCGCCTGATCGTATTCACATCCCGATGTGCTGTGGATCGGGCCTGAATCTTATTCAATTATTGCAGCATAAAGAGAAACATAATACTAAGACCGATACCGCATTCATGGTTAAAGTATGGCATGACTTCCTTTTTGTATGCTTAGAACATATTGTCGTCAAGAATGATCTCTTTAAGACTCTTTCAGGTCAATCCCTTTAACATTACCAATAAAAAGTCCAGCCTGGCCTCTGTTTCTGGGATGCCCTAGCTACCGTATCGGCCGTGGATTTTCTGGGTATTGGTTGTTACCATCCCGGACGATGCCGTTTCGCACACAGCTGAAATGACTGGCGCGATAAGAGTCCACTTAGCCTAAGTAACTGCAAATCGCTGCACCGGAAAATAAGTGCACTTAATAGTCCCCAAAAGCAAATATTGGAGCTAAATGGACTCTTTTGAACTTGAGATATCACACCGCGTGCGTACACCAAGAAACACCCAACCGCGTCCGCCGTTGCTTGGCTTCCGGCGTCACCTCAAAACACCAAACCTCAGCCGGCCGCGGTCACACCACAACGGCAGTCCACAACGGCGACGCATGATTTCATGGGCGTCTGACACCAGACACCGTCACCCCAGGCAACAGTTCCGGCCGGGTGAGGGGCGGCACATTCCCGGATCCGACCCGCAGATCACTTTCACATTTGGTAATGTAGCGTCGCAATGGGGGTGTTTACGGTGTAATGCATCGATTAATATATGAATGCGTGTGATGAATGCATATATGAAATGCCTCGAAGGATAAGGCTATTTCAATAGGCTGGCGACAACGTTCCTGTCTATCCTGGCTTTTGTGTATTTCAGATTTGGGACCAGATTAAGTCCCTGTCTAAACCACGAACATGTATGTTAAGAAGGTTGTGCCAGCTCCTTTCACTCTTAGATAAAGGTACCTCAAAAGTGTGCACAAAATATTATCCATAGCCTATTGCCCTCAGGTGTCAGGCCATGCCATTCTGAATAAAACTGTTTATTGTGTCTCGGACCACATTTGGTGAACGATGTAGACGATGCCCATTTTGTTGATCATATCAGACCGTTTCATTTATCTGTCTTGCTGTAAATTGCAGCGCACTCCAAATTTTTCACATAAATGCAGCTTCACATCGGCTTGTAATGAACATGTAAATGCAAGTGCAATGCAATCCTATAGACAAATGCTAATGGAAATTGCAGTGCTTTGCTTCCACGCGGCAAATCTATTTTTAAATGGCCAAAAACCAAATATCTTTTTCTTACTCACTCCGGCTTGCAGCTTAACGTGGCTGAAATTAAGGAAGGAGTCAAGTGTTTGGGGCAGGTTAGGATATCGCTCACGGCAGAGCCTCCCCTCAACCGATTTGAGAAAGTGACGCCCCTGACTCCATCCCACCAAATATGAGGAGTAGGCCAGGTTCTGGTTGAAACCCAATTTTTGGTCTGTTTGGGTTAGCTTAACCAGTATTCCTGTTCGCTCTCTTCCCGCGCCGTTCCTTGCCTGCAGTCATATATTTACCATCGCCACCTCATTCGAGTTCGCTAATTTCAAAACGGAGAATAAAGGCCTATCTGTTCGACCGTTCCCAGTTTCCACGCTTGACGTTCCAGGAAAAGCAAAAAAAAGTTACTGTGGCCGAGATCGCAACGCCTATCTTGGACATTTTAAGTTTAGATAGGTAAAAACATAGTTTTGTAAAAAAACAACAACAAAAAAACATATCGACTCCTTGGTGTAGTTGCTCGCTATGTCTCTCCCAACTCGATCCTGAAGCAACCATTCGGATGATCAATCGCCCACAGGCGGGAACGAAGGGGGCGGCCGGCACAGCAGCCACCACCTGTGACGTCAGCGCGGCTGGAGGAGCTGCAGTTGGAACTGGAGCAGAAGCGAGCCGAGCGGCTGCAGCGGGCCGCCAGGCGGCGCGTCGAGCGGTGTCAGCAGCGCTTTCTGGCGAGTACGAAGGCAGCGCCACCAGCGGTGGCCGTGCGCAGTGCGCCAACGGCTGTCGGCCGTCAGGTGGCGCCCACTGAGGCCCGTCGGCGCCACCAGAGTGACAGCTGTCTCCAGCTGGGGATGGAGACGCGCCGGTTTGACACTCTGCGCTCCGATAGCGGGTTCAGGCGAGAGTTTGTGTAATTCGGCAGGCATGTTGACATATAATGGCGTCAGAGTTGCATTGGCAACTTCTCACACCGTCACCACCATACATTCGGTTAGACTGGAGATGGTTACGCCGTTTTTGCCATGGCTATCATGCCACACACGCTGAGCACAGGCAGAGAGCCTAATAAGACGGACAGACAATACAAATGTTGAGCAGGTTACGCCTTCTGTGAGCATTAAAGGCGCCATTAACTGATGGTAACGTTTCGTATGCATGAATCAGTTGACCTTCATGGCCAGACATTTTTTAAACGTTTGGGCTTAGATTAGATGAAGGACGTGAACATCAATGGCCTTTTCTATCTCACCACAGGTATCTATAGTTTATTAAGATCGTCTGATGCCCCACCTTCTCCTTCTCCTTCCATGTCTGGTTGCAATGCAGCCACAAAGGTAATTACATTTCTGTCGCTTTCCATTATCAGTTCGTGGGAGCCAAATTAGTCAGAATATTTTTACAAGGTGCAGGCCTCCTTGAATTCTTGTTTTAAATCCTTATGCGTAACGCATGTCGTCCGTCCTGAACTTCTTGACACTTGAGACGCTGATATTATTATGTAGAAGTATATGGTTGTGAGCTTCGTTGCGTTCAAACCTAAAATGCTAGTTAATGAGAAACTAAAATATCAACTACATCGCCGTATTAGTTGCGGATTATCAATAAAGTGATCAGGTGTTGTTCGTCACTAGCGCGTCTCAACCGTGTTTAGGAGCACTGTAATTGCCTGAAGTCAAGCTAGAAGACAGCAACAACGAAAAAGGACATGCAAATAAAAGGCCTCAAGTTTTTCCTTGCTGGTTGCTTTTAAGCGTAGTGAAGCTGCATTTCATCCAAACAGAGCTCTAACGAAAAATGGACATTTGAGGTGCTTTTACTTTCGCTTTGAGGTATGTTATGTTTTCACTTTATATCCTGATGTTATTCATGATTTCCCATCAAATGACACTTTTACATTAGTTGCAAGAACACACACACACACACACACACACACACACACACACACACACACACACACACACACACACACACACACACACACACACACACACACACACACACACACACACACACACACACACACACACACACACACACACACACACACACACACACACACACACACACGCACGCACGCACGTGCACGCACACACGTAGGCACGCCCGCCTATGCTGACTTATACGGCCGGTGGTTAGAGAAAATGAAATCAGGACGCCAAGTCAAGGAAAAGCCCACCGGGGTCAGGCTGGAAACGAAGATCTTCCACTCATATTGGCACGCGCTTTAACCAACTGCCCCATTGTTGTAGAGTAGTGCAACGCTAAGTATTGCTACACATTTCATAAAGCATATGAGCGCTACAAGTGTGCAAAAATTCGGGAAACGTTGGTGACGGTGATTTGCTAGACTTGGCCCCAAGTCCATGGTGGGCGACGGTTCAAGAACAGCGTCCCTCTCAGAAAGAGGTGACGACGTCGCAGCATTGCTAATGGCATCATGCGTTGCCGTTTATGCGTAGAATGCCAGAGAAATGGTTCGATGGTGAGTGGGTGCCTTCCAAATGAGATGTCCAGGTTCGGCTCTTGACTGACCCCAGGGGCCTCTGGACACTAATATGGCCACGGCTGCCCGCACTGCGTGATGGAAGGCTTCCGACGACGCGCAAGTTGCAGGCTCTCTACCAGCACATGGTATCAGGCGCCTTAGGCTGTGGCGATCAGACGGTCCGAATGATTTAACGGCTATGGCCGTTGCCGTGCCGAGCCGACAGGCGGCCATTTTTCCCCTCCGACAGCGAGGCTCGCAGAGCCTTGATGGAGGGGAATTGTCCCATCTTCCCGGTGTCATGAGATCATCATGCACGTTATGAGACTCCAGGCGATGCGCCGGCGCCGCGGGGCCGACGCGGCAGAGAGTGACCTCTATTGCGGTCGCCGCGGGCCTGCGTGAGAGGTCACGCTGGCACCCGCGGTGGTCGACGGGAGCCGCTGTCCTGTGGCGCGCACTGTCGGCGCCCCGCCGCACCAGCGAGACCGCGTGAGAGCGCGGGTGAGAAGGGGGTGGTGCTGCCGCGTCCCCTCAGGCAACGAGGCGACGAGCCAGCGAGAAGACCGAAGGAGCAGAGGTGCCGAGAAAGAGCGCCGAGCGGCGACGTGACGGATGGACGCATCGGCCGCAAATGATACAGCCGTCCCGTGGTGAAGGATTGCAGCCAAACGTCATGCTGCCGGCTGCCGCGCCAGTCGTTATATCGGTAGTGGACGGAGAGCTGTTGTCGTTGACTGAGTGTGGTCCTCGAAGAAAGCTGGCTGCGCGCCGGCATAGAGCGAATATAACTACTCGTCTATTATAACTCTGTCCTGGCGTTTTGATCCACAGTGACCAATCACATCTCTCCCATATCATGTTGTAACGTTTTTTTTTGTTCTTTTTGCTGATCGTCATACTTCCATTGCACTCTGTTTTCACAGTTGTTAATTAAATTATACATAACTGTTATGACGCATATCCAGAGGAGCCGGCAAGCCGATATTAGAAGCAGCGGTGCAGTTTCGTATTCAGCCGGGTAGGCTGCCATTCCCCCCGGCATCAGCTGCCTCAGCTCAGGACCTCAACACCGCATGCAAAGTGGTCGAAATCCGGGGGATTTCGACCTTTGGTGATAATTTGGGCTCAAACGCACTGCCACACCCACGTCGTATGCAAATACGCCCATGGTTCGGAGGCAGGTCATAGATGCCCGAAATTTGGCGGTCCTTCAAGAAACAGGGCTCGTGGATCCCTTGGGTCCACGTGATTGGCTCGAACTCGGTCAGGATCAGACAACGTCCCACGGGGGTACACCTCGGATTGACTTCTGCTACGACCACCGCACGCTAAACAGGCCCGTGCTCTGGGCGTCGTCGTTCTCTGCTCCTGGAAGATACGTGGACGCACCTGTTGCTATCATTGCTGGCGATCGATTCTGTCAAATCTGATTTAAGGATGGCGAGTCGGCCCGCCAAAACAAATATACAGAAACGTATATCGTCGCAATGTCCGGAAACGTTCCTCCGAGGACTAGTTTTAGTGTGGCAGGCTGGTCCCATTCGTATTCCGATGGAATGATTAATATCTACGATGGTTGCAAGTTAATCGGAAGGCATCAGCTACAAGTAAGTTGTCAATATTCATGGTACTTGTAGGCACACCTGTAAAGCATATTGGATCCAAACACGGATTGGATGCTCCAGAAACGGTCGGAAAGAGATTTAAAGTTTTCGCTCGTCGGATGCGATGGTCGCCTCTTCTGCAATGCATTTGAGCACACCTACGATTCACTGTTAAATTAAATGCTAACAACCAGTCACACAAAAACGCTGGTAGTCAAAGTAGTTTTAATGAGCTGTCAAATCGGTTCTGCTGCCGGAGAGTGGATCTTTTACGACTTTCTCTGATTAATTAAGGCCGCGCGCGGCGCCGTTTGAAGACGACATAGCCCAGCGGAGGCCGGCCGGCCGGCGGCGGCGCGAGCAGAATAATAATTCAATCAGACTGGGCGCGCCAGTGTTTGTGTGCGCTCTGCCGGCTCGTGGATCACTGCTCAATGCTCGGCCCAGCTGGGCCCAGCGTACCCGGAACGAGCCCCCGGCGGCTGCTTAGCTGCCACTCGGGGAGCGGGCAACAGCGGGTGATTAACACAGGTAGGATTAACACAGATAGGAGTGTGCAGATTCACCAAAGCGCACTTACTCATCAGTTTACACGCATGGAGTATCCAAATAGTGTGCTATTGGTGGAGCACTTCTTGAGCGTGTGTGCGTAGTGTGCGCGTCGAACGGGCTCTTATCGTTAGCTAGTTAACAAATATGGAATTGTATTGCGTGTTTCGTGCTGCATTTCGTGGCCCGACAGTGACAAAGCATCATTCAAAACTCTCGGTTTAATGCGTCGACGCAATAACCTCATTGACGGCTTTTGCAAATCAATGATCCGGTCACTTCTTCAGTGGGGCGGAGCTTAACGGTAGACCAATGGGATATGCTATAACCTCGTTCGTGTTACACAAATCTGGCCGCTGGAAAAAGGACGTCTTTTTCCTAAAGGTTGTTCAATGATTCATTTTTTTCCATTGCGTTTAGGATGAATTATCGTTTCAATCTGCCGGAGCACTTGGTTGCGTCTCTAGCCTCAAGGGGCGGTGCCGCGATGGGGGAGGGGGGGGGGGGGGTGGGGGGCAGCTGAGGGGCCTGACATTGTATTCGCCCGCACGGCCCAGGCTAGGCGCCTGATCCCCGTGCTCGGCGACCATCGACCCCATGGCAATCCTCGCTCGGCACCACTCGCGGCCGAGGCAATCTATGCCGACCACTTCGCAAATCTTGAACCGATAAAGCTGACCATGGGAGACGCATACCAACGGAACTCATCGCCTCTGCGAGGCTGCGTGCTGCGCTGGTCAGCTGATTAATGACGTAGTTAGGGACGCCGTTCGGCGGTGGTGGCCGCCACTAAGGCGTGCCCGATGCGGGCTTCGGTTGATTTGTATACGGGGAGGACGTTAAGTGTTTCTGTACAGTCATGAGAACAGCTGTTAGTGTAAAGTTTTGTCTCATTACCCTGCATGTATAAAACTTGATTCACAATGTAGTCCTTTTATGCCTCTGCAAATCTAGGATAACTGGAATATCTACAATTTGCACTTTCTCTGCCGTAACAAATTAGACCAAAAACCACTGCCACCACAACTTATCACTACCACCCATTAACCACTTGCCACCCCTTGTGCCACCACTTCCTACGCACTTCACTCAAAAACGGTCGCTTCGACAGGGCCGATCCGTTTATTCGATACATGCAAGCATGTGTGCTGTCGTATGCAGGCGCGTTGCCGCATCCATCTCACGCCGCTATTTTGTCTGGATACATCATGCAGAATCTCATAACAGCATGCAAAGTTAAGCATTAACTAGTATCGAGTTATCGTTGACAATGCCCACTGCTCAAGTGGTGTGTCCGTGATGTTCAACGATAGACAGCCGTCATACGAAGAGTGCACTCAGCAGTTCGCTTGACCCGAGCAAATGAACCGAATCATCCCCTATCGGGTGCACAAGTCTAGAGCAGCGCTCACGTAAACCCCCAGACCGTGTGGTTGGTGATACCGAGGATGACGATCTAAGCGAGCAGCAGTTGTCGGGACGTGCGGTGCCGGACTCACGACACCGGCGTCTCCACATGTCGGGACGTGCGGTGCCGGACTCACGACACCGGCGTCTCCACATGTCGGGACGTGCGGTGCCGGACTCACGACTCCGGCGTCTCCACATGTCGGGACGTGCGGTGCCGGACTCACGACTCCGGCGTCTCCACATGTCGCAGCACATTCGACGTTCGCACACTTCGGCGACGAACGGGGAATCGTCTGGCTTCGTTAAACCGACAGCACCACTGTCCTCTCCCGTTCAATCAATCTTCGGGACGGCACTGGGTGCCTCTGAACTCGCGGGCCCGGTCCCACTGCAGTTTCCGTTAGCTTCAGAGCAATCCATTTTGCGGGATGGTCGCCACGTGGGACTCTGAGGCAATTTTTGTGAGCGCATTTGTATTCCCCAAATTGCTCACGACGTTTAAACTATGTGTGTTTGAGCCGGGACCAGAGGCAATGCGGTTGAAATATGTATTATAGGCAATGAGGTTTTTGCAAAGATATGTGACAGTTGGAAGTGGCTTGCATGCTACCCTTTGGGCCAATATCGGTGTATTCGCTTTTTATAGTTGAGTAATGTCAGA